CTGATATCACGAGCGTTAAATAAAACTAGAAACTGGCAAAAAATGCGAAATTAACCACAATTAAAAACGCATTTAGCATCCTTTTAATGAAATTTATGCTCAGAAAATTGGATTAAAAAGTCAGTTTGAGGTTTAATTAAGTTAAAATAGTCCGTTTTTGCCTGCAGTCCCATAATAATATAGTGCATTTCCTAGTAACAGTGTCGCAATTATATAAGAATTTTCATTTCCTTTTTTTTATAATTTAGAGGGCGTATAACCGTAAAGACCCGTTAACTTTTCTAAAGAGTTTATGCCGATTTTGCGATTCAAAACAATTGTATGCTCCTTTTTACAAGATTTCAATCAAAGTGGCCGGAATCCTCTGAAATTTAATCACAGTCCAATCCCCTCTCAAACTGTTGAACCATGTGAATTCAGATTTGCAGATGAATGGCTGTTTGGATCTTGTTAACTATTTCCCTCCCTCCCTATGGTACCTTGTTACGCACCCCCCTTATAAAGAAAGAAAGTTAAGCAGTAGGGGGGGGGGGGGGAATCTTTAAAAGATCCGGCTTTTTTAACAGTTCTAGACCAAATGTTCAAAATGCCATCATACTTCAGACTTGCTGTTGAATTTTTGTCATGAGTAGAGCTAATTCTAATAATTAATTTGTCAAAAAAACGAGTCATTTTGTTAAATCCATAATAGCCTATAAAATTGATTTCTGAGAAATGTACGTCGTTTGTTTTTACGCGCGCTTGCTAGCAAAATGAATAAACTAACAAATATATCATCACCATCAGTACTAGCAAAAGATTTATTTTGATCTTACGCACTGCAGATTTTATATTGACAAATATATATATATATAAAATGACGTTGAATATCTTAAGCCAGATGATGCAATCTCTGTCGACAGAGTTGTAACATTGTTTTGGTTATTTACTAATATTAATCATTTCAGCAGAATCCAGATTCAAAGTTGGTTAATTTCCTGAAAAACAATTCGAAGAGTTCTTTTGTTCTTATTCATCAATCAATCAGTTTTGGCATAGAATATCAACTGTTCTTTTCAGATTTAAGGTTAGTTTTTCTTAGTTTTTATTTTATGTTAGTCTTTTCTTACCAAATAATAAGGGATACTAAATTAGATAATTATATTCTGTTAACCAATCGGATCAAGTGATGTTTAAGCAACTAATGCTTTTCTATTTTAGTGAAATAAAACAGGACTTAGAATAAAACAAAACTCAATAACCTTGATCTAGGGGCAGATCTAGGATTTTCTTGAAGGTGTGGATTTTCAACAAGTTTTCGAAAATTTTGTCGACCTTTTTTTAGACCGACTAAATTGATTTTCCCAGAAAATTAGGAAGGGGCAGTACAACAGTGCCGAAGTACAACAGTTCCGAAAATGAAAACTTTGTTCAACAGTGCCGAAAAAGAAAACTTTGTTCAACAGTGCCGAAAATTTGTACTTGTTGTACTTCGGCACTGTTGAACGCCCTCATTAGGAAGACCCAATTTTGACACAATTTTCTGTGCAGCAGGCAAGTAAAAAAACAGGTCTGAAGAAACATATGTTGACACTTGGAATTTTTTTAAACCAAAAATTGCGTTTTTTCGGCGCCCGCTCCCCTTCCAAATTTATCGGCGTCTCAGAAAAAATTTGGGGTCAGTCGACGAAAATGGAAGTAATAAAATCATACCAAAGGGGATAACCCTTTGGTTGGTGAGGTGGTCGAATCCCTGAGGGGGGTGTCCGCCCTCATCCTTAAATCTGCCCCTGCTGCCATGTAACATGTTTAAGCAAACTATTGAATTTTTTCCTGGGTTACCAGCTGAAAATTTTCTATTAGTGCCGGTTTTTTTCGGAAGATCTTTTTGGAATATGATTAAGATATTTACAGTATTCGAGCCGTAATGCGATTTCTTTCGAGGATACTTCTAAGAATTCTTGTTCCGACCATTGGAAATGGTAGGAATTTTGTGTTTTTTTCTTTTCCTCGCAAAATCAGCTACTGCAAATAATCATCACTGGGTTGAATGATATATCATATTAAAGCCCTTTCAGTCGTGATTTGAACGACATTAAAAAACTTGCAAAATTTTTTACCAGTGTCGAGAAAAACCGGTTTGAATTTTTTTTTAATTTTTCGTCTTATTTCGAGCGAGTTAGCAGGTTTACATTAGCTTATTTCTGAATGTTCAATTTGGAGGTAAAGCAGTTGCCTTTGTACCCTTAGGTCGGGGGTTCGAGTCGTGGCTGGATCTTGTTTTTTTTTCAGTATCAAGGAAATCGAAAAAAAATAGTTCCGAGAAAAATGAATGGTTGTTTTGGTTTTTGTTCGCTCAGGTTTTTTCGGCTTAATTGCCTTGACAGATTTTGCTTGTGCTTTAAAACAATTTTCCTTGTAGCTGCAAGTGCAAATGTTGTTCATTCTAATTTCAAGGGAGGACTTGAAAGATTTTTGAAACATTTTTCATAAACTTTCAGTTGGTGTCTGCTCAAAGATGGTCGGCTTATTTGCCACATCACGTTTTTTTTTGCTGTAAGCAACAATCATTGTAGTTGTAGGTGCAAATGCTGTTCATTCTAGCTTACAGGGGGACTTGAAAGATTTAAAAAAAAAACGAAAAATCATTTTTTTTTTTTTCGGTTCAAGTGATTTTAGCTCAAAGATTGTTGGCTTAGTAGCCACATCAATGTTTTATCTTGTGCTGTAAGCAACTTTCATTTTTGTTGCAAGTGCAATTGTTCAAGGTGGGACTTTAAAGTGAATATGCATTGAATATGCATTTCACACAAACGCGCAAATAAAATTGGTATTTACATTTTTATGCAGGATTGCATTTTGATTGTTAATTACTTAAATTAGTGTTTTAATTCATTTTTTAGTAATACGGTTATTTTTAAACGAACCTAGGCTATACTCAAAGCTAGTGCTTGAAAAATCCATATTTTCTCCCCTAAATCATTTTTTGGGGGGGGGGGGGGTTTAACGGTTGATCTAATTATTATATCTTTTGGAAACTATTAACCATAACTATAGTAGAGTGCCGATTTAACTTAACCAGACACAACGAGCAAAAACGCAAAATTCAAGCGCGTTTTCTCAAATTGGATTGATATTAGACAACAAGTGAAAAGAACAAAAGCTGCTTAAAGTTTCACCAGATTCAATGTCCTTGGTTCGTCAAACGTCCTTGGTTCGAACCTGGACATGATCTGTGTTTTAAACGGAAAAAATTCCGTGTAAGAAAAGTTGTGTGCCTCTTGTTTGTCAGTTATTTTTTTGACGGCTTAGTTACGACGTGGATTTTTTTTGCTGTAAGTGATGTTCATTGTGATTGAAAGTGTTTGTTTTATTCTTCACTAAATCTGATTGTTTTTGTTTTTTCCTTTTTTCGCTAGAATTTTGGAGTATTCGGCCTCAAATTACTCAATTTTTGTTTTATCCTTTTAGTGACTTAAAAATGGGTCTTTCGAAGTTAAAAATAGGTTCATCCTTTTGTGTATTTTCAGATGGGAGAGCGTAAAATTCAGAATTTCAGAACTTGCTAACTTTTTTCATAGCAACTTTATTTGTGACTCAACGGGAGTTTAATTAACGTTGGTTCGCCTACTTCCGCTCGATACATGATTCTGAATACTTTGGACGAATTTTCTCTTTCAAATTCAACATCATTGCAGACAAAACTTTGAAATTTTTGTAGTTGTGATTTTTTCTTTTTTTTTCGACTGGCTATTTTTGTTTTTCTGTAAGCTATCTGGTAGTGCTATGTATCATTGAGTGATATAGCAAAAGCCGCGAAACTCCGCTTTGCTTGTGTTGAAAATTCGATTTTTCCCGTAAAAATGATTCTTTTGCATGATTTGGTTTTGTGAAATGTGCTTTTACGGATCATCAGCGTGCTAAAGATTGGCTTGACTTGAAAAATGTCGCGTTGTTGTACAGTCATTTACAAATTACACAATTGGACTTTTGGGGAGAAAATACAAATTACACAGAAGGACTTTTGGGGAGAATTTACAAATTACAAATAGAACAATTTACAAATTATACTATAGGACTATTTAGGAGAGAAAAATTCCCAAAAAACAATAATTTTTTTCGTTTAAAATTTTATTTTAGTTTTTTTTATTTCAAACGTATTCGAAATGTATTTCAAAATATTTAGTGTTACTTGGACAGCACAGCAGCCGGTTATCTTTGTTTGTTTTAAGAATATCGCATTACAGTAAAATAAGCAAGAAGGTACAAAAGTTGTAAATCTGGCGAACGCCAGTAGTTCTCCGTAACTCGTGTTTTGTTCATGTCTGATGTGGACACGTGAAAAGTTGGAACGTACTTAACGCCAAAATTTTTGGAGCAGAAACGAAATTTTGCTGTTCTTTTGCGATTCAAATGAAATTGCGGAATGTGAAATAGTGATTTAATAATTAATCTTGGAGAAATTTTAAATTAAGTCGCTTTGAAAACTACACACTTGCAAAACGCCTTCAGTAAATTTTATCGAGCTCCTTTGGCATGCTATTGTTTTAAATCGCAATCCTTTTAAAGCTGAAGAACCTTTGAGTTTCTTGTCACTTTTGAGTAAACAAAGATATACATTTAAAAAAAGTTATAGCGGATTTAGGATGTGCAGCTACTGTTGACAAACAAATAAGAATTCGTCTGCTTCCTTTTTGTCACATTTTTAAGGCGTGGAATGGGACTTTTAGCGTACTTACACAATCACTTATTTTGGGTAAATAGTAATCATTTATGAGCTTTTTGTATCGTGCGCAGCTAAATGTCTATTTTTAGTATTTTTTGAAAGATACACTCAGTGTTTACTTGATTTTTTGCTCTATTCTTTTTTTCAGATTACATTGTCAGCCACTCAAAATGAAATCAAATGTTGTAGATTCTTTCTTCTGCTTTTAGCTTAATGAAAAATTGTTTTTTTTTTTCAGTTTTGAATCTCATCTATAAACTCAATGGAGTATGTGCTTGTTGTTAGTTGACTTCTGGCGCCAAATAAGCAAGCCTTTCTAGCGACGCGTCCATTCATTAATAATAACGCATAGTAGTTGTTTCCAACTGACCATTTTTAATCTGCGTTGAAAACAAAACGAAAGCTGCAAAATTTGGCTGACACAGCTAATTGAAATGGTCGATTGACCAAATTTTTAATTTAGCTTGAACCATCATAACTTCAGATATCGTATTTACTCGCAGTTTAAACTTAATTACTCGGCTTCATTTTCTCCTCGTGCTATCAGATGTTACCTTAACATTGGTTTGAATTCTTTCAACTGTTCCTGCGGTGTCTCAGTATCGTTGGTTGTTATCGCAGTAAATATTGGTATTATGTTCTTGAGTGTTATTGAGCGAAGTGGGTTTTCACTTAATTAAGTCCGTTTGTTTTTTTGAAAGTTTTAAAGATTGTATGACCCATTAATTTTTTTCGAACTATTTTTTCAATTTTGGCTTGGTTGTAATAAAAAAGTGTCAATCATGAAAGATTCTGGAAATGAAAAGAGCCGTAAGTTGATGTAATTTATTTTATTTGTATCTCGGTATTTTAAAGAAAGGTTTTCTGTGTGATGGCTGTTTCACATTATTCAAGCTATTGATTGGGGAAGCCGACTTTCAAAGCCTCAACCTGTCTCTCTTCTGTATGATTGATGGTTAGGTGTAACTTGTTAGTTGTTTGCTTTGTGATTGGATTGGATTGGGTGGCAAAAGTGGTTTGTTATTTCAGAACTTTCGTAAATGAGAGATGACAGAAAATTGTCCAGGCAATGCATCAATTGTGGTCTTGCACTCCTCCCCCTCCTCTCCTCTCTCTCCCCCCTCCCCGCCCTCCCACCGCAGCAGTGGCAGTTGCAGTGAAGCGGTCACTTTTGACCTGAAGCAGCCCCAGTATGTGCCCCTGTTCCGCCGCCTGTTGGCGGGACTGGAAGCGACGTTCAGAAATGTGTTGTTTGACCTCTGCCCTGACACGTGCTGCCTCAAGATGAGCTCTCTCGACTGGAACTCTTTCACAGGTACCCTTATTGTTGTTTGTTTTGATGTTTTTTAAAGCTGGATGACTCTTAATGTGCGTTCGAAAGTTCAAATGGAACTTCTTTGTTAGTTTTCAATCATTTTTATCGAACTCAAATTTGATCAGTCGTTCACTTAGCTATTTTTTTTAAAGTTGGATTATTTTTAATGAACTTCCTTGTTAGTTTTCAATATTTTTTTAATTTCAAAGTTGATCCGTCGAACAGCAAAACTTTCTCGCAGAAAATGGCGATTATGAGATTTATGAGATCAGCTCTTGAGATATGTATACTCATTAGGAACGTGATACCATGCAACGGATTGCCTACTAGATTCGAACTAGGGTTGAAAATTCTGAGTTAGAGGGGGGGGGGGGGGGGATGGTGGTTGCAGTTTTCAATCAATTATGATGACATCATTTGTTCGCCTTTCTTCTCAGGTGCACAGAGTGTTGTGGGTCGTCTTGTGGGTCTCACTGTGGACAGGGGATTGAGTTGGAGCAGTGGGGAGTATGAGGATCTGGTGAATGAGGAGTTGAGTAGGGCGAAAGTGCCCAAGAAACACCTGCTGGGCAAACTGCGAGACGTATTCATCGACTGCAACAATGTCGCTACAGCGTAAGTTAACAAGACACTCTAAAAAATTTTACTTTAATTGATGTTGCGACCACTGAAGAAGTGGACAAAATCCGAGGTCGGATATATTGCTTAAAGCAAAACAGGATCAAAAGAACCGCTCTTAAGTAATTATTTAAAGACCTTAGAGCTTTATTTATTTAATTGATACATACATTTCATTATTATTCATTTAATTATTTATTTAAACATTATTTATGTAATTGCTACATACATTTATTTATTTTTTATTTAGTTATTTATTTAAACATTATTTATTTAATTGTTTCCTCCAATATTTTTCAAATTGCTATCTTGAAACCAATCATTAATTCTGTAGAAGTTTTTCTTCAACCTGAAGATACCATTTTGTCGGAAATTGTCTGAGAATTGGCCAACAAAAATTGTTTTTCAAGTGAATGGTGAAATTTTTTAAGTGGGACGGAGGCTGATTGCTTTTTCCAACTTTCCAAGATATTTTGTATGAGCTAGTTGTGTTGTGGCTTTAGACATGGTCATGGGAAGTTTTCGTGGGCTGGCGTGAAGATAGCTTGTGAGTTCTTTGAAGGCCACGGACACAACGTAGTCATGATTGTGCCCACTCATCGCAAGAAACAAATCGCCACTCCAGGTAATTCTAATTTTGATTTTGTATTAATGAATTTTTTCGAAATAAAAATAGTCAGCAGTTTTTATCAGACAAATTTCTGGAAACTTGTCGTCAACTTAAACCTTGTACATTTTTTTGTACAAAGTAAATTACCAAAATTTTTGTAAGATTTTGTATTTTTTGAGCTTAAAAAGATTAAATTTTTATTGGTTGTTTGTAATTATAATTCTGAATATTTGAAGCGGAGCGTGAGTTTGTGGAGAACAAAGAAAAGTGTGGGGAACTGAAATACGTTTCCTCACAGAGTTCCGACAGGCGACTCCCGTTCGACGATGGGTTCCTGTTGCAGTCATGTGCCGAGTTGGACGGGGTGCTCTTGTCAAATGACAGGTTCCAGGACTTCGCCGATGATCTGAAACTGAGACATGTAATCCAGAACAGAGTTATTCCATACTTGTTCATCAAAGACACGTGAGTAGTGTACCATCTTGTTGCTTTTTCAATTTTATGCGACATATGAGAAAAAAACAGCATGAAAAGTATTCTGGTATGCACATATGGAATTGAATGGAGCTCAATAAATTCAAATGGTGTCTTGCAAATGCAAGTTACGGAATATTAATTCCACATGTGTTAAATGGACATGTATTAAATTGCAAAAGTATTCGCATATTTCATGTTTTTTGAAAATGCAAATCAGCTTTTCATTTTTCAAAGCTTTTTTTGTTCTTCAAAGATTGTCTTTTTACAAATTCTTCAGTTCGTTAGTATTATCTACAAAAGATTGTGCCTTGATTTAGTCCTAATCAGGGGGTACAACTGTGGATCTCTCAAGCTATTTTATGTGAGTTCTTCGTCTCGTAAAGTAATTATTTTTTTATCGTGTGTGTGTGTTCTAGACTGATAATTGGGAGTGACACATTCAACAAGAGGAAAGTGGACTGTGACAGACTTCTTGTGAGGACCAGTCCCTACCAGGAGGAGGTGGAGAGGATGAGTGCGATGCCCTGTCCTTACGGCGAGAGGTGCAACTATGGGAAAAAGTGCAAGTACCTCCACCAACAGCAGCAAGAGTCCAGAGGCGCCAGGGCCAGACGACTCAACCGCACCCTCGGATCCAAGACCAGGTGAGACTATGCCTTTTCTAACTTATCTGGAGTTCACGTTCATGATCTGCTGAAGTAAAATCAGTGTCTCTTTTGAAAATAGTCCTGATAAAATTGTCGCCAACTTGATGTTTAAGAGTCGATAAGCGTATTTTTTTCAGGAAAATTATTTGAATGCTCTAATTACAAAAGAAGTGCATTCATACTTATAAATTCACATATGAATGCCCTTAGGTATACATGAACTTTTTGTGTTCAATTCGAGTTCATTTGGCAGAAGATAGTCAAAATGCACTCACAATTATGAAAGCTGAAATGGCGCGAAAAAACGTGATCGATTTCTGTTTTGTGGGCATTTGCTCTTGAAATTCAGAGAGCTTGAAGGCCATATATTTTTTGTTGAAGATCGAAATTTTTTCCGAAAAAAAGTAGTTTTTTGTTTGCACTCATTGACTCGTTTCCAACTCTCTGTTGGCTTCTTTTTTTCGTTAGAAGCTTACTGACGAGTGAATTTCGCCAACTTAGGCTTACTCTAATTTAAGGTTTGAGCGAGGTCGTCAATTTGGCGATCAATCGTCAGGAGGATTCTTTCGAGGGTCCGACAGTCGAGATGGATCTTATTGTGAGAACCGGTTCCAGAAGCTGTCGGATGTCAACCCGGTATCGACTACTGCTAACGCCAATATCTTTTCGCCAAACTCATTCTGGCGTCGAGATGGCGAAAATGCCGTCGCGTATAACCGAGAAGAATCAGAAGCAACACCGGTTCGAAAATTCTCCGGGTTACCGAATTCTGACAGCCTGCTTCCGAATCATTTTTCACCGGAAAGAAAATCACCCGAATGGAACAAGAGCTCTTCCTCGTTCGGTGAAGGAAACGTAGATGACGGTCAATTTGATATGGAGTTTCAAAATCCACTGGCGTTTCAAGGGAATGCGAAGCCTCCGGCTTATAACTTGTGGAGTGGGCCGAACTTTGAGCTCAGTCCTTCGAAGAGTCCCTACAAGGACGCGACTGTTTGTGGCACCTCGCACTGGTTAGCTGGTAATGGAGTTGCAAAAGAGCAGCATTTCAGCTACTTCAGTGACTCAGGGTCCAGTTGCGATGACTTCATGTCCCACAGTTTGGAATTGTCTCCAGGCTCTTCTGTGGCAATGCTCCACCAGAAACGAGGCAGTGAGGAAATGGAAAGTGCGCCGGCATTCATAACCGTGGACTGTCGCAGGAGGTGGTCAGATGGCCGTGGGGATATTTCTGAGAAAAGTCAAGGAATACAGGCGAAACCAGCCAGTAATTCTGCCGAAGTGGACGGAGCTTCATTCGCAACCGTCGTAGGGTCCAGTCAGTTGAACGGGAACGAAACCGAGAGGACAGTAAGTAAGAGCTCATGTTCGTCCGACTGTGAATCGTCGGGAGGATTACCTGCCCGAAACTGGGCAAACGTGAGCCACAGTGAGCCTCGAAATAACGAGGAGTTCGCACCGAAGACTACAGATATCGTGAATGGATCCGAAAATTCTGGTGAGAGGCAGGATTTGGTCAAAGCGAAATTGGAAGATTATCAATCGGTGATGCAGATTCTTCTGGACAAATCAAAACAGGCTCACGTGCTGGCGGTCATGAAGCGACACCCGGAGTTCACACGTGAACAAATTCTGGTTCACATTTGGAATATTGGCAGTGGCAACTGCGAAGGCGCAGAAGGGAAGGAGCAATGTTGCGCATCCCTGATTAACGAAGCAAGAGAGTTCATACCATCTTGCTACCGATTGGTAGGCTGTGAGAATGATTGCAGACTAGCGAGTGCATTTTTCTCAGTGCACCAGCAACATACAAATGCTCCTCGGCTGTCGGGACGACTCCTGTGGCAGGAAGTCATTAAGAGAATGGCGTTCGATCCCGAGCAATGACAGGTAGAAAAGAAAGTGTTGTATCAAATAAAGCGAGAAGCGATGCTGAAATGCTAGAAAAATATACTTATCCCTGAAGATTATGAACTCTTTCAAAACATTCTTTGATAGACAGTTGCTGCAACCTAGAAAGAGTCTAAACGTGATCTTTCAAAATTCCTGAACTTCTGATTTTGTACTTTGAATTGCCCCTAACTCACATTTATTGTAGAAGATGAGTGTAAAACATGCAAAGTTTGTATGAACTGAACATTGATTGAATTGTCCGACAAGGTGTTTTGTCTTGATGATGTTGAATAGCTACTTTGTGATTAATGCGGGAGTAAACTGTAGTTCACAGTGGATAAGTTCTATTTTGCGAGTCGCCCAGAAATTACCCGAACTCATTGCCACCTCCAAGTTCATATCTCAATTTAGACTCTGCCGAAATCGGTTCTATTTTTATGCAATTTTCACATATTGATTACATCATTCTGTCGCGATTACCACGTGATGATTGCATAGTATGTTTGCAAGTGTCACGTGATTGCATAATACTGTTGCAATGGTCACAAACTTCGACGTAGTGCACTTTGAATGTAGTGCGGCTATGATGTAACACCACGTGATTGTGACCTTTCTGAGTTTTCTGACTTGGCTGAAAGTGTTTATCGAAGCGTATTTTGATGCTATTTAGAGAGCATGAAAGGCTAGTTGCTCAGAGCTTTCAGCTATTTTGGTTTTCATACCTGTGTGCGTGAGTTATTTTTCAAAATGTATCAGTTTATAGAGGGGGACAGTTTTACCTCTCAATTATGATGGTCGTTAAATACTTTTCTCTAAGTGACGTGAATTATGTCTTAGTTTATAAGCCGAGCGAACACTTTGGTTTTAATGTGATTTATAAAGCTTTAACTTGTGAAGAAAACTTTTAATGATCGAACAATGGTCATAAAAATCCAATAGTCGTTTGGTGAAGTAATTTGAAAAATTTGCGGCTGAACAAAAGCATTAGTTTAGTGAACAAAAATGAATGATTTTGACTATATTGTTGTCTAGCAAATTCAACGAAAACTTGAATTAGTCTAATCTAATTAAAATGCTCTGTGATTTTGTATTCTTATTGTCCCTTTTTAAAACTCAAAACAATGTTCTTAAATAGACTAGCAAAACATCGTATTTTTGGCTGTAAAAAAAATTCCTTGTGATGTATCTTATGACGAATATATTATTTTGCCTGATGCATTCATATTTCACTACTTTTTCTGGTCAGTTCAAAAAAATGGAATCTGATAAAAGCAAAATTGCAGCCATTCCAATCAGAAACATTTTTTTTCGGAAAAAAATTGGAGAAATTATATATGGGCTTTCCAATAAGAACGAAGTGACCATAAAACGATGTAAGATACAAATGTTTCATCTCGTGTGCTCGGTTCTTGACTCAATATTTCTATGACGATACTATAAGTGTGATGTAGTTTGGAATCAGTCCCACCTAAGGCCATAAACTAACGTTTGGCCAAATTTTTGGAGCCTTCTTAACATCGAAGCACTCTAGATAGTTGACTTACTTATTGACATGATTTTGATATTTTTTACTGATTTTTGTTAAGTCAAATGTAAACTTTGATGGAGTTTGAACTACATCAATTTTTGATTTCATCCATGTGTAATATGATTTCATCCGTGATAAGGACCTTAGTTGGGAAAGATTCTATCGATTTGGGTTAGTTTAATTGTAGTGCATGTAGTGGTAATTAATTATATTTGAACCGCACTGATTAGTATATAGCACTGTTCGTTCTGCTGGCCATGAAATGAATTGTTTTTTCTTTCTATTCAATCGATTGTGTTTGATTGATTGCATCAGTTTGCCAGTTGATTGAGTATGAAGAATATTATTACGCAATAATCTATTGCCAGATGTTTGTGAAGAGTTGTAACTACTCCCCTGCCAAATGAGCAACAGAATCCAATATTTTTACAATTCTTTTCTCTAATCAGCTTAAGAATTGGTACGACGATGCTGATCTAGTGTTTCAAGAGGGTGTAATGATTTGGCTCTAAGGGTCTATTGAGATCAAAAATCAATCTAGGTAGTGATTTCAATCTAGACTAACTAGTTACTTCTACTCTTGTACATCACTTCCGTATACTCCGATATGCTTTACTTTCGAATTAATAACCCGAAAAGAAAAAAAACATGTTTTGTTTAAAAATGAGATTTTTTAAGTTAGTGAAAAGTGTGGACGCCAGCTGCGGATTTAGGGTGGGAGGCAGACGCCAAAAAAGTATCTTTATGGTGTTTTAAGAGAGCTAGCTCTAAAAATTAATTCGGTCGACATAATCCCCCCCCCCCCCCCTCCCATCGAGAAGATTTAAAGAGATCTACTAAACTCCCCCGCCCCCCCCCCCCCCCCTTATCAAGAAGATTTAGAGCGATCCACTTAACATCCCCTCCACCCCTGTAAATCTTCATTGATCAACCTGATTGATTTTCCTTAATTGGGAACTCGTAAGCAGCTTTGGCCTGGAGTGTACCATCCGTTTGAGCTATCGGAGCGAGCACTTGTCATTGATTGTCTGATTCTATTGTTTTTTATCCGGAAGCAGTTTGTGAATTTCTTAACTGAATAGCCATGCTTACATTTCAAAGTAAGAAAGACAGAAATCTTACACAGCAAGTATCCATAATAACATAATAACTAATATTGACGTTGAAGGGATGGACGAAAGGAATATTTCATGCCTAAATATTGTCTACCCTGGGTAATTTAAACAAAGATTGACAGTAAACAGCATTTTTATTGCAATACAGAAACAATAAAACACATTTATTTTTCCCCTATCTTCGACATGCGTCGTACGAGAAAAATCATTTGGGTTAAATAAGCAAGCACACAAGTTTGATAGCAAACATCCTTTTCAAGCAAACGATGATACAAGAATATTAATAATCATAATAGTGAAAGAAAAATTTCTCATTGTTTGTTTTTCCAAGGAAAAAATTCAATTTTTTAACACCGTGAAGGGATTCTTAGTTTATACTAGGAGTTTGATTTCCTAAACTCGAAATGAGGCTGATTATATTTGATTTTTCAAGGAAGGGGGTTCACAGAATCTGAAAAAAAATTATTGCTTTTCCTGCTTTCACGTAAAAGATGCAAAATTTACATGAAAGATGCAAAATGTACTCTTCGTTCACTTTCTTTTAAAAAAGTTTTTGAAGTAAATTATGAATACTAAGTATACAGTTGTCCTTAAACTTGTAAACGAAACAATTTCATCACGCTGAGACAGGTTTCCAATATCAACTAGTCACAATTTATAGTTTATAAAAAAAATCGAAAATTTTGACCCTATATCATATATCAGAGTGCAAGCTTGAGTTTGATTTATTTTGCAAAAAGAGGGAACAAATGTACAGACAATGGATTCTTTGCGTGATATAATAAACTTAAGAGCGAAATATAGAATGTAGAAAAAACTTCGATGTCTCTGTTTGAGTGCACGCAAGCTGCACTTGAACAAGTTATATGCATAACTCAAAAGGTTCATGAACGGACAGAACTTTGTTAACTAAGATTGGTAAGTTGAAACTTTCATACTTCATAAATCATGCGCAAATTTTTGAAACAACACGACAATGCCTTCTTAGTTGCTTTTGAATATGAAGAAAAACGACAAATTTTCATCTTTCATATCTAGATACTGACAAGAAGTCTTGAGTTTAACACAATTTTATCGAGACAACATTAAGGTTGGAAGTTTTTCAGTTTTTCTTCGAAATTGATGAAGGTCGATTTATCAAATTGTAATGATAACTCAAACTTCAGACAGATATAAATCTTTTCTATATCTGACTGAAAACATTCAAACATAATGCTATTGCACGCAGTTTTTTTTTGCAAAATGAAAGACGATCAAAATTGATGCTTCATGATGAATATCATTTATGTGAAAACAAAAAAGTGTTAATTCAAGTACAGATCCTTCTGGCACACCAGTTGCAACACTTATTGCCACGAACTCATAATTTTCCAGTTTATCTAATGAAATTGTATGAATTATTTTGGTGCTTAAGGCGACTTCAGAAAAATTTTAGGGTCAACCAGCCAAAAAGGGAGGTTTTAATACTGTACGAAAGCGGGGACCCCTTGCGTAGTCATGCGGTGGCTCCCCATCTAAATCCGCAACTGCTACAAATATCCATCTTCAAAAGATTGTCGGCCTAATTTTTGTCTTAGTGTTTTACCGACTTAAATCCCCCATCACCGATTGTTTTTGTGCTGTCGATTATAAATCTATGATTTTCTCGAGGGGTGGGGGCAGGTTTTCAAAAAAAATCGAAAATTTTGTCGATCTTTTTTTTATGTCGAGCAAATGATTGAAAAAACAGGCCTAAAAAAACCGTTTTTAGGCACATATAGAAAAATTTTGACTAAGAAAATTGCTTTTTTTCGGCGCGCGCTCCCCTTCACACTTAGTACATTTTGGCGCCCAGGGCGCTGTAAGATCATGTTGAGGGTCAGTCAGTCAAAAAGGGAGAGATATCTCAAAATAAAACAAAGGGGGACCCTATGGGTCAGCAGAGGGTCGAATCCCTAAGGAGGGTCGTCCGCCTCACCCCCCTCTCAAAAATCCACTGGTGATTACACTCTTTGGAATTGATTTGTATAAATATTTCTTGTTTTTTTCTAGTAAAGGCTTTATTCGAACTGAATTGTTGTTCCGACTTTCGATACGAAAGTAACGGAATATTTGTGCTCGGGGTGGGTTTTTTTCTTCAGACAAATTTCGACTTTTTAACTAGCCATTTTTGACGGATTTTTTTTATGGTTCAAAAGATATTGTTATCCTGAGTTTAAATTTGAAAGGATATTTTACCTGTGATCATTTTTCGTAAAGTTATTGGGGTTTAGAGACTGGCATTTTGGCCAAATTGGGACAATTACTGCGCGATATATTTCGCGCTTTTAACGCGTAAGCGGAGATTTAATCCGTTCTAGAAATCGTTCTAAATTGGTTCAAATAAGCTTATTTGCCATAATTGATTGTTACTAGCAGCGAAACTGCTAGTAACAATTTTTGTTATCATTTTTGTTTTATTACATTCAATTTTTTTATGTTATTACTGCTCCATAAACCTTAAAAGGCAATCGGAACATTCAGGGTTTCGCCCTGATACGAGCAGTCTTGTTTCAGTTTAGGTTTTATCGGAATTGTGACCTAGTTTTGCGTCGATTGTATAAAATTATAGCTATTACGTCCCTTCACTCTCACTGAAAACATATAAAAAAGATTAGAAAATTATGGAATTTCAGACCTTGGGCCTTCGATTATACCTCCACCCCCTAAATCCCTAAATGGATGATATATATTTATATATATGGAAATTCAGTTTTCGTGCTGAAATTGAAAGCGCGAAAGCGAGTGAAAAAAACAATTAAATAGCACTCGCGTGCAATTAGCAGCTGTTCGCTTAGGAAAAAAAGTATATGGCGAATTTATTTTTAGGTTTCCTAATGGAGCAGCTGCTTATTGCACGCGAGTGATATTTAATTGTTTATTTCACTCGCTTTCACGCTTTCAATTTCAACTCGAAATTTGAATTGCCAAATTTATTCATTTAGGGGGGGGGGGGGCATAACCGAAAAGCCTCCCGACGTTTATAGCGCAAAGTTTTTAATCACAACAATTTTCTTCTCGGGTCAGCGGGTGTTAACCTACGTTTTGTAGTTTTAGTTGCCGATTGATAAATATTGCTGGATTTTTGTTTTGCGCCGGCAATTGTATTGCAACGTTTTTTCCTGTCGAAATTTGTTTCGACTAAGTGCCTTTTATTATATTTTTGTCTGCTAGCTTGTTATGCTA